CATTGCAATGATCATCCGTGTGGATGTGAGCAGAAGGAAATGAGCTGTTGCAAGAGGCCCTGGAAGAAGAAAATTTGGTAGAAGTAGAAGTAAAGACCGAACAATAGGACGTTCGGTCAGTAGTTTAGTTTGATTGTAGTGTGGTCGTTTCATCACCATCTCTTTTGATTATATTTGACCGTTCGGTAGTTTCTTTTGTAAACCGATCGGTCAGTTTTGCTTATCCTGTACAGTTTTAGCTGTAACCTTGTGTAAGGCCGTTCGGCCGTAACCGTACGTTTTCTTAGAGTAAAGACTGATCTGAATTATTAATTAATGTGATTATTCTATTATATAGTTTTGTACTGTATTTTTGGGATGTTACATTAGTGGTATCAGAGCAGTTTTGTTCTTTTAAGGACACTGTAGGTTGTGAGTGCACTATGTCTTTGTTGTGTGCTTAACGTTCGTTTAATGAGTATTTTAAACTCCTTGAACTTGACTAACGATTACTTTCTCTGCTTCTCAGAGAATTAATGGCATCGAGACCTCCTCCTCAACTGGTCAATCGCGCTGTATCTGATAACACGAGGTTATTGGAATCCGTAATAGAAGCGCTTCAACAGCAGAACGCTGCCTTGGTGTAGCAGAACACTATCGCCTTGCAGAGTTTGGACGCCGCCCGTGCTAACTCTGAAGCGACCCAGAGACAGCTGATGGAAATCATCGCAACCACACGGAACACATCTGGAGCGTCCACTTCCAACGCTACCCATCAGGCTGAGTAGAGCTTAGAGAATTTTCTCCAACATCACCCTGCCAAATTCAACGGGAAATGCCTTCCTGACGAGGCCGAACAATGGTTAAGAGATATGGAGAGAATCTACAATGCCAAGAGGTGTCCGGATGACAATCGATTGGCGTTCACTAAGTATCTACTAACCGGAGAGGCTAGCCATTGGTGGACGAGTATGAAGCTGATTCTGGCGGACGCTCAAAGTCTCATCTCTTGGGAAGTTTTCAGAACCAAGTTTTACGAAGAACATTTCCCTGATAACGTTCGTTTCGCCAAGGAAGTAGAGTTTCTTCAATTGGTGCAAGGGGGGATGTCCGTCTCTGAGTACACCAACAAGTTCAAGCATTTAGTATGATTCAACACCATGGCTACCAGTGAAGAGTGACAGTGTCATAAGTTTGAGAATGGGGTGAGAAGTGATTTGAAGTTGCTGATATCCAGTCTATGTATTAGGTCTTTTCCTGCAATGGTTGAGAGAGCCAAAGTGTTGGAGAAGAATGTGGCCGAAGTGGAACAACAGAAGAAGCAGCAATAATCAATTAGGGGACTGGTTTTGTCTAGAAACAATTTGAGTCGAGGTAGGACGCCCTACTCTCGTCCAGCGTTACCTTCGAACGCTAGTGGGTCTCACACCCAGTCAGTGGTTGTTGCTGGACGATCTGGATAGCAAGGGGCAGTAAGTTGTTTTCAGTGTGGAGGACCCCACTACAAATCATCATGTCCTCAGCTGGTAGGAGTGAAATATTGCACTCGTTGTAGAAGAAACGGTCATCTGGAGAACGAGTGCAACATGGAAGGACGAGCGGTCATGAGGCCACCAAATGCTGGGAGAGTTCAACAAGGAAGGGGTGGACGAGCCCAAGCGGTTGGACGCGTATATGCTATAACGGGCGCAGAAGCAACAAGCTCAAGTAACCTCATATTCGGTGATTGCTTGCTGTATGGTAAATCTTGCTGTGTGTTGTATGACTCGGGGGCAACACATTCCTTCATCTCGAAGGCGTGCGTTGAGAAACTGGGTTTAGCTGAGAGAGAGATGTAGTTCGACTTGGTGGTGTCAACCCCAGCGGCTTGTGAGGTTAGGACGTCTACAGTTTGCGTCAGATGTCCTATAGAAGTTGAGGGGCGTAGGTTTAAAGTTAACCTCATTTGCTTACCTCTTCAAGGTTTGGAAGTGATTTTAGGGATGGATTGGTTGATGGCCAATCACATTCTTATAGATTGTGGAGAGAAGAGACTAGTGTTCCCTGATGAAGATGAAGAAGAGTTATCTGTGACGCTCGGTCAGCTAAAGGAGGACATCATGGAGGGCGCCAGCTGTTTTCTAATAATGACGCACACAGACAAGGAGTTCGGAGATTTAAGACAAGAACGATCGTCCAGTAGCAAGTTGAGTGGATGAAGATCGGTCGTGGACGAATTCCCAGACGTCTTTCTGGATGAAGTACCTGGATTACCTCCCCCTCGCGAGGTAGAATTCACTATTGATTTGGTGTCGACAACAGGACCCATTTCTATTGCACCCTATCGGATGTCGCCAGCAGAATTGGTTGAGCTCAAGAAGCAGATTGAAGATTTGATGGATAAGAAGTTCATTAGGCCGAACACATCACCTTGGGGAGCGCCTGTTCTTTTGGTGAAGAAGAAGGATGGCAGCTCTCGGCTTTGCATTGATTACAGGCAGTTAAACAAGCTGACCATCAAGAATAAGTACCCTTTGCCGAGGATTGATGATTTATTGGATCAACTGCATGAGGCTACTATATTCTCAAAGATTGATTTGCGATCGGGATATCATCAAATTCGGGTTAAGGAAGGGGACATTCAGAAGACAACTTTCCGGTCTCGTTACGGACACTACGAGTATGTAGTGATGCTGTTTGGTGTCACTAATGCACTAGCGATCTTCATGGACTACATGAATCGCATCTTTCGGCCGTTCCTGGACAAGTTCGTGGTCGTCTTCCTTGATGATATCCTTATATACTCCAAAAGCTGTGAAGAACATGAGGAACACTTGAGGATCGTACTTGGCGTATTGAGGGAAAAAGAGTTGTACGCCAAGTTAATCAAGTGTGAGTTTTGGATGAAAGAAGTGCAGTTCTTGGGGCACGTAGTCGCTGTTGGAGGGATCTCAGTAGATCCGGCCAAGGTGCGAGCGGTGTTGGAATGGGAGAGTCCGTGTTCGGTCACTGAAGTTCGAAGCTTCGTGGGACTTGCGGGCTACTATAGACGTTTCATTGAAGGATTTTCTAAGATAGTAGCTCCGCTGACTCAGCTGACCAGAAAAGATCACCTGTTCGCGTAGACCGATCGGTGTGAAACTAGTTTCCAAGAACTGAAGCGGAAGTTGACGAGCGCTCCAGTCTTGGTCATTCCTGACACAGCCAAACCATTCGAAGTCTACTACGATGCTTCTCATCAAGTTTGGGCTGTGTGCTTATGCCAGAAAGAAGGGCGGTCGCGTACGCTTCTCGGCAGCTGAAGATACACGAGAAGAACTATCCTACGCATAACTTGGAGCTTGCAGCAGTGGTATTCGCGTTGAAGATTTGGAGACACTACTTGTACGGATCTACCTTTCAAGTCTTGAGCGATCACAAGAGTCTCAAATACCTCTTTGATCAGAAGGAGTTGAATATGAGGCAGAGGAGGTGGCTTGAGTTCTTGAAGGACTATGACTTCGAACTACTTTACCATCCAAGGAAGGCGAACGTTGTAGCGGACGCTTTAAGCAGAAAGGTAGTTCATGTCTCGTCCATGATGGTCAGAGAATTAAGTTTGGTTGAGAGTTTTAGAGATCTAAGGTTACAGTTCGATTTGGAACCGAACAGTATTAGATGTTGTAACCTTAGAATATCCAGTAACGTCTTTGACCGAATTAGAGAGAAGCAATTGACAGATGAAGAACTGGTGAAGATCTTGAGCGCGCTCGGTTCAGAAAAAGCAAAGTACTTCAATACTGGAACGGACGGTCTCCTTCGATACAGAGACAAGACGTGCGTTCCAAACGATGGCGAGCTGAAGAGAATTATCCTAGAGGAAGGGCATCAAAGTCGTCTTAGCGTGCATCCTGGCATGACTAAGATGTATCAAGATCTCCGGAAGTCCTTCTGGTGGCCAGGAATGAAGAGTGATGTCGCTCGTTTCGTGGCATCATGTCTAACTTGTCAATGAGCCAAGGCAGAGCATCAGAGACCGAGCGGTCTACTACAGCAGTTGGAGATTCCGGAATGGAAGTGGGACAGCATATCAATGGATTTCATGACCCACTTACCCCGCACGGTGAAGAATCACGACTCCATCTGGGTGATAGTGGATCGGCTAACGAAGAGCGCACACTTTTTAGCTGTCAACCTGAAGATGTCTATGACGAACTTGGCTAAACTCTACATCAACGAGATCGTTCGTTTGCATAGAGTGCCATCCAGCATCATCTCTGACCGATACACAAGGTTTACTTCTCGGTTTTGGCAGTCCTTGCAAAGTGAATTGGGTAGCAAACTGCAGATGAGTTCAACCTATCATCCTCAGACGGACGGTCAATCTGAAAGAACCATCCAGACATCAGAATGGCTCTCTATGGGAAGAAGTGCCGAACGCCACTATGCTGGTTCCAGGAAGGAGAGAAGGTGTTGACTGAACCTGAGTTTATTCAACAGACGACCGAGAAGGTGAAGTTAATCCAAGAGAGGTTGAAAGCGTCTCGGAGTCGACAGAAGTCGTATGCAGACAAGAGAAGAAGGCCTTTGGAGTTCATTGCAGGAGAACATGTCTTTCTTAGACTGAATCCAATCACTGGAGTAGGTAGAGCCGTTCGACCCAAGAAGCTATCTCCCAAGTTCATTGGGCCTTATCAAATCATAAGGAAGATTGGACCAGTGGCGTACGAGTTATCCTTGCCTCCTCAACTATCCAACCTTCATCCAGTCTTCCACGTTTCTCAACTTCGGAAGTATATAGTCGACCCTTGTCATGTGCTCGAGTTAGAGGACGTTCGTCTTCGTCAAGACCGAACGCTGGAAATGCAACCAGTTCGTGTTGAAGACAGTCGCACAAAGTACTACAAGAGGAAAGCCATCCGATTGGTGAAAGTGGTCTGGGACGAGAAGACTGGCGACGCTACATGGGAAGTGGAGGATGCCATGAGGGACTTGTATCCCCATCTGTTTGAGGATAAGTTTTAATTTTCGAGGACGAATTTTTTTTTAGTTGGAGGGAATGTCAGACCTCATTAAACGCACCCAAAACCCCTCCTGTCAGAATCATTAAAACGCA